CGGTGAGGGGCCCGGCGCTTCCCGGGCTCAGCCTCCGGCCCGCGACACCCCGGGGCCGCGCGGTGCCGGCAGAGAACGCGCCGCGGTGTGCTTTTGGGTCGTGGATAGTCCCCGGGCCGCCTGGCGTTGCGAGGCTGAGCCGAGAGCTCTGCCGCGGCTGGGGCCAGCCCTGGCGCCCGTCAGTGCCCTGCCTGGCGAGCCGGGAGCGGCCGGGGACAGCGGGGCGCCCCACGGCAGCCGTTCTCTCTGCGCTGCCCAAGCTGCAGAAGGACTGGCACAGAGGCAGCGCGGTCTTGGGGGATGGCACGGCAAAGTGTGACCAAAAAGCTGGCTCAAAAAGCAGGAGGAGCCTGACCCCACGGGGCGATCAAATCCCTGGATGGATGGAGTGGGCTCCATCCCCATCCTGGAGCTTAGGGCTCCCCATCCTGCTGCGGGTACACCAAAGAAGAACTGGGCAACTGGCCTGGTTACACGCCAGGGGTTTTTCTCTGCCCTTGGCCCTGGCCTGGCAGCTCCAGCTTAGAGAGGGATTAGGGTTTAGAAGCTTAGGTTTTGCTGGTGCTTAGGAAACGAAGGGAACCTTCCTCCCTGCCGTTACAGATGCCGGATGTTTTAAAATTAACTCTCGTGTCCCCAGACACGCGGGCCAGCAGCTTGCTCAAGAAGAACACCGAGCTCCCACAGTAACTGGCGGCAAAATCTTTCCCAGAAATGTCATTTCTCATAAAGCACCAGAGGTATAAAACCATGGGATGCTAAAAAGTCTCACTCTCCCCATTGCATAAGCAATGCTGGTTCATGCCCTTCTCCTAGCACAGAAAATCAGCTCACCCAAAGCTGTCAGCAGGGAAACTTTTACAAAATGAGGGATATTCTACCTAAACTCATGGGTTTCAGCCCAGTTATCATAATCAGTGGCAAGATGCTGGGATAGCACGGGCACTCGCTTCTTTAGGGGCATGGGAACACTTGATCCTGGTGGGAGCTGGAGCAGCAGCATGAGTGGCATGGCTGGAACAAAGCCTTTCCTGCTGGTTTTCCTGCCCAGCTCCCTCCTTGCGGCCATGCAAAGCACCCAGATGGGGAAAACCTGAGAAAGAGTTCTCTTGCCTCAGCGTTGGACTTTTTCTTCCCCTACCCAACACCCCTGTTCTGGAGTAAAATAGGAAAAAAGGGGGGGAAAGGAATGAGTGTGAAAATCCCAAAGCTTCCTCATCTAGGCAGAGAGCCATGAGCTCACAAAGCCTGCTGAAGGAAGAGGATATAAACAGTTTTTTTCCAAACTCCAGTTAAAATCAGTGTTTCCAATACTGGACCTGGCACATCACAGATGAGCATCCCAGATGAGCTGCTGGGAAAATTGTTCCCTGTCTGTCCAGTGGCATGGCACAAGGGAGGAGAGTGGGAAGCAGATGGGAGAAGTATGTTGAGCTTGCAGCAGGCAAGTATGGGGAGGTGATGAGGATGAGGCAGAGGATGGAGTGTCCTGAGGGACACCGTTGAACTGTACATTCCAGCAAGAGACCAAGCTGAGCTCCCTCTTGAGCCTTCATCCCTGGCATCCTCTCCTCAACTAATCCATGGATGCCTCTGCTACATCACTGGATGATGAGGACACAGGCTCACCAAATCCTCTTTGGCAGCGGACAGGAGCAGCTCCAGTGGGGCTGGGGACCAGTGGGACACGGGTTCTCACGGCCATGGGAGTGGCTCCAGCCCACGAGCCCTGCATCTCTCCCACGCCCACTGCTTCTGCACCAGGCACTGCAGCCAAGCGCCTGGTGGGGAGAAACCAAAACAAATGATTCACTGCTGCTAAACTGCTCCCAGGATCACAGGGGCCAGGAGCAGGCGTTAACCGAGGCTTGCAAAACCTCACCTGCCTCCCAAAGCTGGGAGCTAACCCTATTTAGATCCCAATCCTGCTCAACCTGATATTCTGGCGTTCGGGTGCGGACCCACGGCTACATGGAAGTGGGCAGCCAGCCTGAGCGAGGGCAGCACTGCGAGCACACCTGGTCAGCTCTGGATGGCTCGGGTCATCCCTATCGCCCCTATTTTTCCCAGGGGAAATTAAGCTGAGAGAGCCAAGGCAATGCTGTAATGGTCAGGCAGGCAGAACAAAGCAACCTCATCTCTAAGCTCCATGTACCAGATGTGAATCTATTGTCTCAGCCCCAGGGCCATCACACCCCCCTCTCCATCACAGCCATCACGAGCTGAGCAAAAATTACACAGCAAGTTGCTTATGGCTAAAGGAAAGCACTTTGTTTCAGGTAAAGCACTTAAAAATAATTTACCCCACTCTGTTTTTTTTCTCTTTCCCAGATTTCAGACACATCCAGAGATGGACTGCATCCCAGCTACATGTTTCAAATTCAGGTTATGCTTGTACACGTAATAGTTCCTGCTAAAATGTTTTCCAGGCCCCCTAATTGCCATGGCAAGCCAAGTGCAGAAGAGTGCAGCAGAGCCTTCTGCATGCATCCTGCAGGGATTAAAATTGGAACCTGATCATGAAGGAAACTAAAACTAGGAAAAAGGAATTGCTGCCAAACCAACTTTCTTATCCATCACAAAAAGACATTTTTGTCAACTTGCAATTTCTTTAAATGGCCAAATAATATTTTTTTTTTAACTTATCCTAGTTATTTAGATGCAGTTCCTCACACCACTGGCTGAGCCAGCATCCCATGATTCTCTCCCAGGAGGGCTGGCTGTGGCACAAGACACTGTGTTCCCATTGCAAGGGGTATTGGCACCTGAAAACTGTGCTGATAGCTGAGGCCAGAGTCAGCCCTTGGGCTGGCATGGCTCTGCTTCTTCCAGGCTTGGTTGGTTCCACACAACACGTGTGTGTGCCTGTCACCCTTGCTGTGATGTCCTGGATTGGGGCACTCCGTGGTGCCGGAGGAAGGGGCTTGTCAGGCTTTGTATTGCCTCGTTCTGTTCTATAAAGAAATGTATTGACTGTGGTGATCTCTGCATAAGCTTTTCTGAGAAGGACATCACTCCCTTCCTTGGCACCTGCCCATGTTCTCCCCAGCTCTCCCACCTCATGGCTGGGATGGATGCACAGATCCCTGTGCACGCCACCTTCTGCAAAGCCCAAAATGGTGTCACTCAGTGAAGAGAGCTGACATACTTGAGCAGGAAAAAGGCACTTGCAGCATCACCAGGCAGGTGTGTTTCTCACGCAGGGGCTGCCCTGGATCTGTCTCCATTTTCCCTACACGAGTATCTGCCTGTGTGCAGCGTGGCTCAGCCTTCGCAGCGTGCAGAGCTGTGCCTGCACGTTGCAGGAGCAGCTACTGTGCAATTAACCGCAGAAGGAGCAGGCTGGAGGGCTGCATGCTGTGCCATTCAGCTCAGCACATGCTGCAGAAGCATTCATTCTGTAGCTCTGACTGTGCTGTGAGGCACTCCTGCCAAAGGGGAAAAGGAAAAGTAAACCATCATACATTGAATAAATTCCCTGATTCCCTCCACCCCGGGCATACTGGAGGAGAGCTGGGCAGGAGCACGGAGATGTGCCAAACGCAGGGCATGGCCCCTGCGTGCTGGCACTACGGGTCAAAGTCAGGGGATAGGAGGGGTGGAGGAGCAGGACCTTTGCTCTGGCATGAGGTTATCATGACAGAGGAGCTGAGGCTGGCAGCGGCAGCCAAGCTGTGCAGAGGCTTTACAGTCACTCCCCTCAGGTGCAGGAAGCGTTCCTGCTCCTTCACCCCCAATGCTGAAATGGAGTGCCATGTTGGCCCACATTGCCGTGGGTAGAGAGGGTAGGTGAGGGGCTTAGGTGTGCCTAGAAGCTGTCTGGGGTCACACTCACTTCTCTGAAGGCAGAGGGAGAAGGAAAAGAGAGAGGATAGGGACAGGTGAATGGAACAGAAACCAAACGATTTCATTTCAATATATCCAAGTCTTAAAAAATAATCACTGCCCAGTGCTCTGGGACGAGGCATGATCTTCTTAGTATGTGAAATGGAGATGGGAAAAACATTATCCTGGGCCAGAAGGCAGCATGGAGCTAGGCTCCATGCAAGGGTCTGTCAGGTCCAGACCCTTTCTCTGTACCCTTGTGCTGTTTTTTGTTAGGCTGCTCACCAGTTGCTAGGGTTTTTTTTTTTTTGTTTTGCTTCAATCATTTTCACTGATGAGAGCATCTGCTGCCATCTGTGCCTGCCCCTCCTCCCCCGAGCAGGACTGCGCACCGCCATGGTCTGTCTGCAGAGCCAGGCGCTCTTCACTGTCCACCCTGCGCACGGATGAGGGGATGGAGAGGAGGGAAGAGGCAGCTCCATCAGTGTCCAGCTCTCCCCCTGGGTTTGCCAGCCATAGCTGGGCAGTGCTGCAGTTGAACCTGTCGCAGGACACCCACAGTGCCAAGGTCCCAGAACCTGGTGGCTCTAAGCAAGGCCGCCCAGTTCCTCCTCTGAGAAGCCATCTCCCCATAAGACAGCGTTGGAGGGTAAAACAGAGATGAAAAGGCTTTGGTCACACAGGATGCCAGTACATGTCTGGGAAGGGAGGTGAGAGTTGCTGCTTGCTGGCAGCGTGACTCTGTGTCCTGGCCCACGGAGTGCCTGGAAAGCAGGGTTGTGATGCTACAGCCTAGGTGGCTTTTGCTGGAGGATTACACACCCCATAGCAGAATAGAGGTTGCCATTTGCATCTCTCTCTGACTGTTGATTTGGGTATCCAGGCTGATGGCTGCTCCAGGCCTGACTCACCATGCTCTGCCTGCACAGAGCTCTGAGCCTGGCAGCTCATCGCAGGAGGGGAACCAGCAGGTGTCGACACTGGACCGGTGAGGTCCTTACCTGAACGAGCTCCATCTCGTGTTTGTTACTGTCAGCCCAAAGATAAAGGAGAATTGCGGAGTCGTGTTTACCCGCCAAGCCCAAACCAGTTCACACCAGCGAGGACTCGACGCGCTGCTGCGGGCGAACTGGCTTGGTGGCGTTTGTGGAAAGGTGGCATCCCCGAGCCCCGCATGGCAGCGGGGGCAGAGGCTCGGTGAGCGCTGAGACCTGCGTAAGCACGGCGAGGTTTGCTCCCGCCCTGCCTGGCTGCCAGCCACCTTTCCCTGCGGAGGGTAAATGTGTACATGTGCCTGACGCATGTCCCGGCTGGCGCTGGCACGGGGGGGCACATCCCTGCGGAGGGAGGGCTGGGGACCCGCTCCTGCCTGGTTCTCGGAGCCACCCTCGCTTCACAGCTGCTTCTCGCACAAGCCGCCGCTTGCCCTGTGTAGGGGCTCGCAGCTCCCCGGTGCTGGGGCTTGGGCGGGGAGCCCGGGAGAAGCGTGGATGGACCTGCTGCGCTCCTGGCCGGGGGCAGAGCGGCCGCGGCTGCCGGCCATGGGCAGTGCGCTGCCGGCGGCGTGCGGCGGGGAGAGGGGGCCCTCTGCCTGCCTTCTGCAGCCTGACAGCCCCGGCTCGGCTCGGACACCCTGCCCCCGCCACCTCCCCTGGGTGCTGGCGCTGCCCTCAGGGTCCCCCCGCAGCCGGGGCATCGCAGCACCGTCCCGAAGCATCTCCTCTCCGGACGGTGACCTCGGTGGCCTTTCCCCGGGCCCACCCCGAGCGCCTTCCAGCTACCAGGGACACAAAATCAGCCCAGGTGTTTTAGGCACAATTGCACAATGTCGCCTAACAGGGAACGATCGCTCCCCCCTACCGAGCTAAACAAAACCCAAAAAGCAATCCTCATCAAGCTGTCAGGCTCAGTTTCCCGAAGGAATACAATTAAATCTTTAAATGGCAACGTGACCGTCAGCTTTTCCCCATCTCAAAAGATGCTTCTCAAGTTGCGTTCGGCTGTTCCTCTCTTCCACCCCCTCCTCACAGTTTTCCTTCCCGCCGCGGAGTGCAACAGAGGCTGCGGCTTCGCAGCCAAAAAAAAAGTGCGATTTGGAGAGCGCGGCGCGACGTTGTGAGTGGCAGAAGTGAAAAGGCAGAGAAGCAACTCTTGAAAGCCTGCCTTCTGCCGCGGCGGGTGTCAGCCTTGGCAAAACCCGAACTTCCAGAATTTTCTTGCAAATTAAAAAAAAAAAAAAAAAAAAAAAAAAAAAAAAAAAAAAAGAAGAAAAATTAGAGGACCTGTCGAATTTGGCTGCTGCTTTTCTTTCCCTTGTTCCCTCAGAAGGAAAAAAGTTCTTTCTTTTGCTTAACAGCACAGTTGGTGCAATCTGGGATGTACTTGCCTGACAGTATATGGGGATGTAGTTCTGCTGTCTCAGTTTGGGGTTCCCTGACACTGACAAGATGAGAAATGAATGCTGAATACCTTGATGCTGCTTCACTTGGAAGACCCATGCATCAATAAATTATTATTTTTTTCTCCCCAAAAAGGTTGGAAATCTACAGGTCCCCCTTATTTCTCCCGTTTTGGGGGTGCTTTCCTTCTGCTGTGGAATTGGAGGGACTCCCCTTTAATGGAGACACTAAGAGAGAGCAAGGGAGAGCACAGGAGTTTTGCTGCCCCACGACAGGTGGACCCGAGGCAAGGGCTGTGGTGGAGCTGAGTGTGTGCTGGGGTCGGTCATCCCATCCTCCAGGCGTCTTTCTTGCTACCCTGTTCTTGTCCGTGGCTGATCTGGGTGGACCTCCAACCTGCTGCAGCACAGCAATTTCACCTCCTAAAACATGGGTAACAAACAATAAATATGATGGCTACTAATAATAACCCCGTTTCTCTATCCCGGATGGGTTATACGTGCAAAAAATGCTGCTGAGTCAGTTCAGTATTCCCCCTGGTTCATTAAACCAGCATCCATTTTCCTGCAGATAAGATGGTCCGTCAGGGGAAGAGATGATGATAACTCATTTGTCACACTTGTTAAATGTAGAAAAGGCTGGCTTTGGGTCACTTCCAGTTTTGTGTCAGCTCTGCCTTTATCTGAGCAGCCCCATGCCTGCATGCCAAGCAGGGCGGCTCTCTCCTGTGTAGCACAGGAGATGGGGATGGTGGCATTGTCCCTGCAAGATTTCCTAGAGTTGGGAGTGGTCTCTGAGTGCCAAAGCACTTGCAGTGTGGCTGACATGAGTCCCAGCTCATGGAAAGGAATGCACTCATTACTGCAAGAGATGCCATAGGTCCCACAGGGATCTACAGCTGCAGCTTGGAGCCCCTGGCACTACACATAGGCTGACCTTGTCTGAGTTATCCCCCAAGCCCACCCAGCTGCGCTTGTGTTTGAGCTGAAAAGCTTGAGAGGTGTTATGGGGAAGGATACCAAGCCAAGGCCTCAGAAACAGACAAAGTGAGCTTGGTGCAGGTACAGGGGGAGGGAAAAGGGGATACAATTTCATCTCTGTGCCTCTCCTAACCTCAGAGGGTCCTGGGATGACTGGTCTGGGTCTTACCTAAGGTAGCACTGTCCCAGTGGGATATAATTTGCCAGTTCAGGGAGGCTGCAGCGTGAGTTATTTTGGCTGTACCCTCTTTGCGGGGCATTGCCATCATGACAGGCCACCTCCTCCCTCAGCCTGGGACGGGGACTGGCTATAGCCCCTACATATGTTAGGATGGAAACACCGATGGCTGTGACCCCTCAGGGAAGGGAGCAATAAGTAATCAAGAGAGGCTGGGAAGAGTATTGATCTCTGAATGAATGATCATAGAGCTGTTCAAGGCCGAGATACTTTCAGGGCATCATACACTGCACTCCCAACCAAAACTTCGCTGCAAAACAGACCCCTGATCTGGCCTGGGGTGGAAATGCTCTCCAGTGAGTCGGGAGCAGGGAGGACTGCAGGTCTTTCTGTCCAAAGCTCCCCTGATACATGAAGCCCAGTACAGGATGAAGGTGTGGAGACCTGAGCAGGAAGGAGGTGACAACTCCTGATTCTTTCAGGGAAGCTTTTTCATGATCTGTGCCCACATCTCACTATGGCACATCCCTCGCTGAGCACAGCCCAGAGACAGCCTGCTGATTTAACCATGCACTCAGCAGATGATGAAGTGTCCCATGACAGTCTGTCTGCATTCCCCATCTCTTGCTTCACCTCTGCTTTCAGGGTGGGTGCAAAGGTGGGTCCTGATGCCTTCTCCCAGCTCCGTGGCTGGTCTGCAGTGACTGGTGCCCCTTGGCATGAGGTCGTCTTACAGCTGGAAAAAGATGAGGCAGCTGTGGCATATGAGATGAGATGAAGGATCAGAGGGGCTGATAGGCTGTATTTTAGTCCTGGTCTTGTCATTAATTTATGGGTGTTTTCAAGTCAGGGTGTGTTGATTTGCAGCATGACAGGCAGCTGCAGGCAGCTATTGGGCAGGGCTCGGAGCTCCTGTCTGTTTCAGTGGCAAAGACACGTCGTCTCCGAAATCTGGCTCTCCATAATGACCCTGGGAAGTGCTGCAGTAGCAGCAGGTTCAGACTGCAGCAATTTATTTCTCTCTTCAGTGTTGGTCCTAGCAGGGGAGGGGGGCCCTGCCTGCTTGGCTGCCTTTGCCTGCTTGCCATAGATCTTCCATCAAGGAGTCACTGAGGTCTCTGCTCTTAAATCTGGGTCTGCGCTCTCCTTCGCGGCTGCACGTGGCCCTGACCTGCAGCAGCATCCCTCACTCCTGCTTTAAATCTCTCCCGAGCAGCTGCTGGTGACATTAGCATTTTCTCTTGCCAGCCCATAGAGACCAGGAGCCCTGCTAAGGAAGGAATTAACCCAGCAGCATCACATATCAGAGGTATCTTTTTATTGACTGTTTAGAGAAATACAGTAGCACTCCACTTAGGTGGCTTAGGTGAGTTCTCCAGAAGGTGCCTTCCTTCTCAGCACTGCTGGGAAATCCCAGGGAGAAACCTGCCCTTTAACACTTCAGGGTTTCTCTGGAGGCTTTGGGGCTCCCCAGCATGAACTTCCTAACACCTTCAGCTCTCCAGGGGTTGGGAGTTGTTGAACCAGTGGGTGAAATTCAAGAGAAAAAAGGAAAAGAAACCCCCACAAGCTGGGGGTGGTGGGGTGGTCTGAACACACCTGATATGTTGTGAGCCAGCCCTGCCATGATCCCCATCCATCACTGTATGTGTCTCCAGCTCCACAGGACCCCACTGCTCCCTAGAGCTCAGCTGTCTGCTACTAAGTGTGCGTAGCTCTGGGCTTTGCACGCTCTTTTCACACAGCTTGTTGGCCATAAAACAAATATTTTTTGGTCTATTTTTCTTCCTGTACATGTGTAAGAGTGAGACCTTTTCCTTCAGCTGTTCACATACCATTTCAGGGCAAGAAGGGTATGCTCAGCTGGGCTGATGAACTAATTTAACTTTTATTTATGTATTTAATTGACCTTTTTTCTTTTTCTTTTTGCAATCAAGGTGTGGTGGTTGGTTTTTTTGTGTGTCCTTGCTACAAGAAACTGCAGACACTTCTGGCATAGAGGCATTTTGGCGGCGGCAGCTGCTGTTGGCCTCACTCAGTAGTCAGTGAGAGGGTATCGCAGGAAGATGAAGATAAGGATGATACAGAAGGTGGCAAGGGCTGAGCTGGTGATGTTAAAAAGCCGGGCTGTCTTGGCATCTTCAACTGCTCCATTTAAGTCATTGAGGAGTTTCTTATCCCGGACCTGAGACAAAAAGATAATTAAATGAAGTAATTGCAACATGTATGAAAGACATAACTTGTTTCAAGCAACAGCCACAAAACCCAGTGCACCTGTATGTGGTTGCCTGTACCACAAAACACCCTGAGGTGAGGTTTGCACCCCATCGCTGCTATGGGTTAAGCTTGTGAAGCCAAGCACCTGTGGGCTGGAAATTCTTGGAAGCAGAAAAATCCTGAAAGAGTGACCCATTGCTGTTACCAACTAGGCAAACCAGGGTCCCATGGTGGGGCAGTGTCATTTGGAGCCTGAGGGTGCACGAAGGCACTGAGATGCCAGTGTACACCCCAGGCACTACAGCACGCTTCCCACCGTGTCACAGGTGGCCCTGTGGCACCAGGCTCCGGCTCACCCAGCCCACGAGGGGGAAGGAAAGCTGGCTGCAGTTTCGGTGTGCATCCCTGTGCCTCTGTCTGCACTGAGGGCCCGAGCGGGTGAAACCTGGCACGGCATCCTACTGCAGCTCCAGGGCTGCGCACCAGCCTCCAGCATATTAAGTAGTCCTGGGTTAATGAGCTCCTTTCCTTTTGCAGGTCTTATGCGGATTGTGTAGCATCTCTGCCACAGGCAGTTCTCTATTCTGACAGCACAGTCTACTCCCTTCAGTATCCTGTGGGCTGGGACTTTTATGGGCTTTCCTTGGGACAGCTCTGCAGTGAGTAATGATTGTGCATATCCATGCCACGGGCCTGTCCCCAGCACTTGCAGGCTGCCAGACACTGCATGGCACTGCCAGGCAGCAATGCCACTAGTGGCCATTACCGATGGACTAGCTACAGCATTACCAGGCAGCAGATGGCACTACAAGGCAGCAGATGACACTGCCAGGCAGCAGTGGCATTACCAGGCAGCATGTGGCATCACCAGGCAGTGGATGGCACTGCCAGGCAGCACATGTCACTGCAAGGAAACGATGGCACTGCAAGGCAGCAGATGGCAGAGCCAGGCAATGATGCTACGAGCAGGCAGAGATGGCACTGCGAGGCAGCGGATGGCACAGCCAGGCAGTGACAGCACAGCCAGGCAGGCAGCAATGGCAGCACCAGGCAGCTGACGGCACTGTCCACCAGCAGCAGCTCTGCAGCTGGATCCCAGCAGAGGAGGGGTCAGACTCCACTGTTTCCTAGCAGGGATATGTCCCTGTCCCCAGGCTGCCCCTTCAGCCAGCACTCAGCAGACTCAAGCAGCTGGAGCCACAAGGACCTGGACAAAAGGACTAAGAAACCTCATCCATTTCCTGTATCCAGGCAGGTGCCCAGGGTGTGGCAGGGCCTGCCCCACTGCTCTCTCTTGGGTGGGGGCTGTGGCGAGTGGGGCTGTGAGCCCTTCACCTGCCCTGCTGCCAGCAGTGAGAGCCCCGCCAGGCAATGCTGGCCGGACACTGGACGAGGGTGGCAAGCTGCAAAAACCAGCACCAGAGTCAGACTGAGGAATATTAAAAGGCTTTTATCGATCAGGAGCTTTCCAAAAAGACACTGCAACAGATTCAGGCCACATCTTACAGACTTCTCTTTTCCTCCTGCAGTGCTTACCCACAGGGCTGTCCTGAAAGCCTTCTGCTGGACATGGGGAAGGGTTGCTGTACCCCTTGTTCCACTGAGCTGTGCTGCTTTATGGGCCCTCCAAAGCTGCATTTCAGGCCCTCAAGCAACATTCCTGCCCTCCATCATACCAATGAGGACCTCTCTGCACAAGCAAACCCTGATCTTCTGAACCGTGGGTAGGGAAGCTGCTGTTGTTATGAGACCCACAAGATCTGGTGCTGGCAGGCACATAGGCAAGAATGAGCCTATTTTTCATACTTGTATTAAATCAAACCATGCCATGTCCTCAGCATCTGATGTGCCCTGCTCCTTGGAGCCTGGAGCTGGAGCCATCTACTCATTGCCCTGCTGCGGAGTGCTCAGCTCAGCATCCTTCTGGGATCGCGAAGAGAGGATAGTCACAAACTGCATGTGTCTTTGGGGCACACTTGGCTGGAGCTCTCAGCAGAGGAGATGATCTCTGGGAAGTCATCAAGCCGGCAGCTTGGGAGCCCACATGCTTTCTGTGTCAGCTGAATGTCCGGGATGACTCACATTTGAAATTATTCAGTAAGTTTAACATCCTCCCCGAAACCCCTGGGCTCAGCAGCACCAGGCATTTGGCACCTCCTCACGCGCTGGTGAGAAGCCCCAGAGGTGCTGGATTCAGGCCAGGAATCCCGCTTGCTGCTCCCAGCAGACTCTTTGAAGCTCTCACACACTTTCCTCTTCCCAGCGGTGGAGCTGCCTGAGGCAAAACCGACACGGAGCAAATGCCTTTTGCCCCTTCTTGCACCGTAACTCAGTCTGTGCCGCAGGCAAGCCGGCGTTTGCTCTCGGTGTTTGCCAGGCAGACAGAGGTTTCTCCAGCAGACCGGCGTGGCCGGCACACCGAGCTCTGCAACCCTCCCTCAGCCAAACCGCTTTGCCTTTGTGGGGCCAGTTCCTCTTGGCTCCAGGAGCTGTCTCCTACTCCTCACCTCCTGTTCCTCCTGTCCCTGGGGCGCCCTACAACCCTAATTTCCATGCTCAGCCTCCTCCAGTGCTCCCAGCAGCCTCTCCCAGCCCATCTCCCACCTGACACCGGATTTCACTGGTGACAGGTGCTTTAGCCCTTTCCCATGACACACTTCAGCTGTGTCTCTCCTTGATTTGCCCATGGCTCTTCCTTTCACCCTGCTCTTGTCATGCTGCTGCTGCTGAGCATCTGTGGTGAGGGGTGCCTGGGGCTGCCCTCTCCCCAGTGACACCATTTTCCCACAGTTCCTTATTTTTGTCCCTCCCATCTCCCCTCTTTCCTGTTGTTTGGGTCCAAAGGATGATGCGATGGCCACCTTTGCCTCCTACCAAAGGGCACCCAGCTGCCTCCTCTCCCTGCACCTCCAGCTGGTTCCACCCACACAACCCTGCCAACCCCATGGCTTCAGTGGTCACCCTCATGAAAATCATCCCTGATTGCCCATAACCATTTATACTGAAATGGAGTCTCTAAACACCAAACAAGTGCAAGGGCCCTTGTAGACTAAAAGCACAATGAAAAGAAGTTTCTCCTTACAAACCACTCATGTCTCCAGCCTCACATATCTCTCCAGGACAGCCTTGCTTCCTCCTGCATAGCCTTGCACCCCCAGATGCTTCCAGATGTCTCCCTTTAATGTCCTGCTGTGGCAACTGAGACAGGCTCTGGAGGAGCTCTAATAAGTGTTTCAGCTCCTTCCCTGCTTTGTCCTTAAGGAGATGCTGGTGTCTTTCTTATAGCTCAGCTTCAGCTTTTCCTCTTTTCATGCTCCTGTGGCCACCATCATCATGTGCTGGCAGCTGGTGCACGAGCTTCTGGGAGCCCTGGAAGCTGATTCCTTCCATAGCCAGAGAGATGAAGCATGGTGAGGAACAGGTCCTCAAGGTCACAAGGCTGAACCCCTACCCCAGACCCAGGTGTGGTGTTTTCTTAGTCACAGGCTCTTCTCATCATCTCTTTGACTCTCCTCACTTTGCCTAAAACTAGATGGGGATTTTTGGCCCTGTTTTGCACTGAGATGACTGGGGTGTGAGGATAGTTATATCTGCTGACTGGGGTTTCCCTGGGCACCTCCAAGCACTATGTGGTGGCCTTTTTGGAGATCTCCCTCCTGGACAAGGCAGAGCTCACCTCTGATCCAGGCTGGCGACTTACACAATTTCTTTCTTCTTCCATGACTATCCTTACATGAAACAGAGCCAGCTTTTGTGCTCTAACATGCAAACCTCTCTTCTCTCCCTTCCTATCAACAAAAGGTGGTGTGGCCTTTCCATCCATCCATCCATCCATCCATCCATCCATCCATCCATCCATCCCTACTTGCCTGTCACCTCCATGCTGCTCACCTTGTCTTCCAATTTCTCCATCTCACTGTGTCCTCCCACACCTCCAGCATGCCAGTGCCCAAGGGTTCTTTCTCTCCTCCCTCTCATCACCATCCTCTCTGCATGTTGTTTCCTTGGGGTTTTGCTTTCTCTCCAAGTGCTCCCCTTGGATCCTACCACCCCACTCCTTCCCCCAGCAGTCACCTCCCCTCTGTCTGCCCTGAGGCTCAGCCCCTCTCATTTTTGGGAGCAGCAAACTTGCTGCTCTAGTAAAAAGTGCTGCCTCAGCTTGCAGAAGGAGACAAATGGCTTGTTGATAACAAGTCTAATGAGGCTGTTTTTAAGGCAGCCTGGAAGTCCACAGCTGGTTGTCAGTAAACCCATTTCTATGCAGAGCTCCATGTCTCTGCACAGAAGGAGCTTTGGAGGCGATCCTTGGATTTATTTGCTCTGTGAATTGCTCAAGAGCTCTCCAGCCCACGTGCCTCCACCACACCGGCACTGGCGTCACGGGACTGTCACCCCTGCATTTCACCCACGTCCGTAAACCATTGCTCCTTCCGAAAAGCAGGATGAGAGCCTGCCTGAGAGGTTGGGTGCGGCAGCTTCTCGGGGTTAACAAATAGCTGTGGATTCGTGCTGGTCTGCTTCCACTTGAAACAAGGAAGATCAACATGTGGCAAGAGGGGAAGGCAAACAGTCGTGCCCACAGCTGTGTGCTAGGGGGCTGGGCAGAGAGCAGGCAAGAGAGCCTGGCATATTTCCATGACCTCAAGGGGCAAGAAAACTCTGCAAGCAATGCTGTGGGCTGCTTAAAAAGCCAGAAAGGCTCCTTGGCACCTTCATCTCTACAGAGGCACAGCGAGGCATCCATACTGCGGCTCATCTCAGATCCCAGCTCCTCTGATCTATCGCCTCATGGCACAATGGGTACAGAGAAGGACTTGGCTCACCCCGACAGTCTCCAGAGACGAACCTCTGAACAACTGAAGTGAGATCTCCTGCCACCAGGCACTGATGCATCATTCATTACCGCTTGGAGCTGGGAAAGGGGAAGGGAGGGAGCTGCTGAATATCAGACCACAACATTTGCTTCTGATCAAAACCAACTGAATCCAAAGCGTTGCTGGTGGAGTGATACTTTTATCTGTGCTGGGCTGGGATTAGGGTTACTTCAGGATTTCTAACTTCCCTGGTCCTGCTGTTGATCTCTTCTCCCCCAGCATCCAGCACACATGATTAGATGCAAGCACCTTGCTTGCACTCCAGGAGGCTGACCTTGAGAAGCCTGAGATGCTAGAAATGACCCCTGGAGGGATCCATGAGTTGTGTGACCCCGTTGCAGCCCAGCAAGCTGTGTTTGCTGAGGATCTGGCCTCCTATGGGGGTAAATAAAGATGAGGCATGCTGCCACACTCTTGTTCAGAGTGCTTGGCTCTGATGTCTGTCACACACAGAACCTGCCTTGTATGTCACAGTTTCTGCCCTCACCTGACTTCATGTGTTTCTTTCTTCACAAATTCTTTGGTGCTGGGGTGAGGATTTTTGACATTTTTTTAGTAAATTGTTGTCACCATGAAATAGCATTTACCCGCAGAACGAAATCTAGAAGGGTGTAGCTAGCATGCAAAAGGCCATGCCTGTTTTCCCAGATGTGGCTGGAACCAATAAAATAGGGCATGAGGAAGGAGACAGCTTCACAGTAATATTCAAGTGTACCAAGGATATATCTGTCTTCCAGTGTGGGCATTATGCTGCTGAAACCAGAGGAAATGCTAGGGTGTGCTGAGATACATACTGAAACATCTCATGGACTTGGGTCACAAAGGAGATACTGCTTTATTAACAGTATGAATCTGTCAGAAGCAGGTGACCTTTATGACAGGGAATTGAAAAGGCTATTTCTGATAATGAAAACGGTAATTCCTGAAAGTGCTAGATGTTTCAGTTATTTAAAGGAAGTGTAAAAGCTGTAACCCAGGAACAGCTTAATGGCATCAGTGCACTGATGGTCCTTGAGGAAACCTGTGTTCCACTGGCTGAGGGCTCTGCTGTCAGGTGTCCCAGAAGAGGCTCAGGGAGAGGAAGGTGCAGCTTCACTCTTCTCCTTCCTACAGCACCTTAGTCAGTCCCCACAGAGCACAGACATTCTAGAAAGGCTGGACTTAAGTGCCAACTGCTCAAATGTCCTTACATTTAATTGCAGAGAAACAAGAGAAGTCTGTTTAAAGGGATATCTGTCCTCAGGGCATTTCTTGCTCCTGTTTTCTCTGAACTTCGGGAAAAACATTATTGATGGTAAAAGAAAAGAAAACATGCTTCTGGAGAAACAACCATAACACCCAGCCTGGCTACGGTGTTGTGAAGATCCCTGCAGTAGCTGTGGGTAAGGAACACAGCTGCCTTTCTGAACATCCCAGTCTTCTCCTGGACAGACCTGCTACTGCCCCAGCATCTGCACTGCTTCTCACCACCCATCCCAATAGCACTTTGTGAGAGCACTCGGCATCCCTTCAGCCACTTGCTAGCTCTGTCCTCTGCCTCTGAGGGACATTTTGTTTCTATTTTCCCCTTGCCACAGAGTCACAGCCACTGGGGAGCTCCAAAACCAGAGCAGAGTTATTTCTACCCGCTCAGCGTTACCTCTGTTTGGGTACCGCGGTTACATCCCATCAGCTACCGCCTTCTCAGTCCAAAAGCCGAGGCTGGTTTTTGGAATAGAAGACAGCCATCTTCTATTCTTCTTTCTCTGATTTGGAGCAAATTTTCCCATTTGCCTCTCCTCACCACTGCCTCTTTTTTTCATGCTTAAGTTTATGTCCTCTAGATCTCTGCAGACAGATGCTGAGCCCACACCTCTGTTCTGGTGCAAGGCCTGGGTTACTCTGGGCTTTTGCCTTTCCTTCCACCCCATGTTAAGGATAGCGAAGGGTCCAGCCTCTAAAAACTTTGCAGGTGGCAGACACTATCCTGTCATCAGGGGATGGGTGAGCCTTGTTCTCAGGCTGTCCTGCCCTCACTGCTGCAGCAGCAAGGAACCCAGATACTTATGGTAGCCCCTTCCACGGGAAAGATTGTCAGTTGTTAAAGACAAATACAGACAAGGAAGGGCTTAAAAAAATATGGAGGAAGCCAGTTTTTTCTTCCCTTGCTGGATCAAGGTGTGGGGGATATTAAGGGACTTGCTCCCTTAGCCTGCTACTGACTGGATTTGCCCTTTGCTTGTGATGATGCTTCGCCCCAGGATGATTTAAGTTATTAAGTGCCTCACCCAGGCAGCAGCAGAGCCTCCTGCACAGGCAATGGATGAGAGCTCGTCTCCCATCTCAGGGAATGAGAAACCGAGGCAGGCACCACAAGGCCAGTCCTGGGTGAGCCCAGGACAAGGGGCTGCAGACTTGTCCCTGAGCCTTTCTGATGGAGACCCTGGCAGTGTTGGGAGCAGCCTCCTTGCAGTGCTGGGTGCCCACAGTCCAGCTCACAGGAGCTGTATGGGGTTAATTGATCTGCTTCTGTGACGAAGCCCGTCTGCACCCTGGCCTTCCTCTAAATGCTGCCTGCCAAAACAAATCAGCCAGCTCCTCTCCGGGCCACCCAGCCGCCCCGGGCTCTCTGCACATCCATTCAGTTAGTTTTGCATCTGGCAGGCAGGGAAGGGGAGGGCAGCCCAGGCCCCTCTCTCCTGGCAGCTGCCAAGGGGCTGCCTGTTTGCCAGGCACCATTCCTGCTGGGCTGCTCTCCCCTGCAGCTATCGGGAATAATAACCTGGTCCCATTCCCATCATGGGCTGTGCTCCACGCCATCACCCTCTCCAACAACACAGCTCTGTATCCCCCCAGCCCAGCACTGTGGGAAGCCCCCTGCACTCTCTTCCACCTCCTCACCATTCCCATGATGCTGGCAGGTCTCCAGGGCTTGTTTTTGGATTTTTAGGGCTTGGGGTGGAGGAAGCTGGCCATGAGCTCGGGTGTTTTAATTACAGAGAGGGCAAGAAACAGGCAGGATTGCCCTGCACTTTGTAAGCTTCTTACCCCCTGCAACTTCCCAGCTGATGGCTGATCCTGGCTGGCTGCTTCTTACTGCTCCTGCCTGACCATCCAGTGCTGCTGGCTCCCATCCTGATGATCTCTAACAGCCAGGATCCCAAACAAGGGACATAGTGCCGGCGTGCCTGCAGGTGCAGCATGAGCCAAACCAGCCCCGTGCTGCCTGCCTGTCACCCTGCCACCACGGTACAGAGGAGCCTCCGAGGGTACTTGGAGCAAGTGAAAGCACCTCTTCCCCATCTGAACTAACATCCCAGGCTCCTCAGCTCTTCCCATCCCCATTGTCTGCAGCCTCTCATTTGGGTGGCAAAGATGTGTTTCACATCAGGCACAACCCCCAGAGGCTTCCCCCCCTGCCTGGTCACCCCCTACCCCGAGCCTCGCGCTCAGTACTCACTTTCAGTGAATAGGCCAAGGCGATGAAGCCGAGGCAGCAGAAGTTGAGGTATACAAAGTTGAAGATGGACCAGAGATAGTAGTCGTTCACCTCGGTGGTGTCAGGGTAGATTTCGATGACGGTGGTGGGGTTGGTCATCGTCTTCTTCTCCACAGAGTGCTTGCACGGGACCGCTGGCCGCAGGCTGTCCCCTTTGCAGCTCTTGCTCTCCATGAGATAAACGGCAGAAGAAGGAGACAGGACGGGCGAAGCTTGCCGGAGAGCTGGGGGCTTGGCGATGCAGGCGAAGCAGCCCTGCGGGGGGCCTTGCGGGGGTCTCGGGGTCCAGGCCACCCCCTCAAAGGGGCATGGCGGGCCCAAGGGGGGGTCCTGTGTCCTCTCCGTGGTGGCTGCCGCGGCGTCACCGCGCTCTGCCCTGGCAAAGCGAAAAGCCCCCCCCCGTGAAAAATGGGGGTGAGGGGGTGGAAAGGCCGGGGGCAGGGGGAGAAGAGAAAGGG